GCAGTACACACAGTGCGACTCCTGGTACAGCCTCTCACAAAGGCACAAAATATCGTAGTAAGAACTTCTCGTCCTACTAAGGCAGGGGTCCTCAAACTTTTTAAACAGGGTGCCAGTTCACTGTCCCTCAGACCGTTGGAGGGCTGGACTACAGTTTAAAAAAAAAAAACTATGAACAAATTCCTATGCACACTGCACATATCTTATTTTGAAGTAAAAAAACAAAACGGGAACAAATACAATATTTGTATTTGCACGTGGCCTGCGGGCCATAGTTTGAGGACCCCTGTACTAAGGGGTGGGTTAAGGTTATGTCCCATCAACCAATCCCTACCATCACTCAAACTCCCACTTTTACTAAGTCGCAGGCTTATGTGTAGGAGTACCCTGTCAACCAACCAGCCGACTTTCTCTAGAACAGTGGTTCTCAACCTTCCTAATGCCATGACCCTTTAATACAGTTCCTCATGTTGTGGTGACCCACAACCATAAAATTATTTTCGTTGCTACTTCATAACTGTAATTTTGCTACTGTAAACAATATGTAATTATGTATGTGTTGTCCAATGGTCTTAGGCGACCCCTGTGAAATGGTTGTTCAAACCCCAAAGGGGTCGCGACCCACAGGTTGAGAACCACTGCTCTAGAAATATACATGCCGCTAGGCCCTGTAGAGTAAGTAGATCATCCAAATACTTGGTCCCTGTTCCTGTGGTGGCCTCAGTGGCCTGTACAGTATGAGTGAGGAAAATTCCCACTGGTGCCTGGTATTCAGATGGATCCAGTCAGGGCAATCTGCCCACATGAACTGCTGTCACTATTCAGCCCCAACACTGACACCGTCTAAATGGGACTAGAAATGAAGCACAGCAGCCAGTGGGCTGAACTCAGAGTGGTTTCGTTGGTGATTGATCACAGATGAGCCCTGGCCTTTAGCCCTTTGCACTAATAGTTGGGTTGTTCCAAATGGGTTAACCATATGGCTTGGACCATGGGAAGCTGAGGTATGGATAATTATGAATAAACCCTTGTGGGGTCAGAATATGTAGAAAGACATTTGGATTCCCCTGCAAGATTCTGAAGCCATCCTTATTATCTTTCACATTCCAGCTCAGAAGGTCCTTACACTCCTGGAAATCAGGAACTGATTCCCTAGCCCAGGCATGAGCCTAGCAACTGACCCTGCAATAGATACCGCAGATTGGATACATAGGAAAGGTGGCCACTGTAGCTCCTGGATGCTACGGCATATTGCTTAGGATGGCGGAGAGCCCTTGAAATACAGTGTCTTGGTTAATGCAGTACCAGCATGTCCTATGTATTCTAAACAATGTCCAAGGCAACTCCCAAAGGAGTCTGGGGCCATCTACTGGAGTTCCCAATCGATGAGAAATTGACAAATTGCTTATATTGATCCCTTCTTCTATGCGAGGGCTCTAAATCTGCCTCAGTTTGTGCAGACTCTGCCTGTGGCCTAATCCAAGCTTTCCTGTTGCCAAGCAAACCAGATTGCCACCACTAGGGAATTAGAGAAGCTGAGTATCATATACAGATACACTCATCAAAGAGAGAGTGATTAGGATCATATTTCAAAGGTTATGATATGCAAGATTGGGCAAAGAACATGACATCGAGTGAAGATTCCATCTCCCTTATAACCCATGAGCAATAGGGTTGGTAGAAAGGAAGAGTGGGATATTAAAGCAGTAGATTAAATTACTAAGAGGTAAAACCATGCTGGCCAGGTGAACTGAAGTACTTTTCCAGGCTTTAATACATTTGAATGATCACCCAGCAGGGACTACTGCCTTATATGCTGGATTGGAGACCTCTGCACCAAACATTATAAAGGTATGAAAGTCTTGGGAGACAGCCTTTGTCCCAACTCTGTGTGGATCAACATGGTATGCTGCTGACAACACCAAGCTGTGGAGAGCGGCTACAGTGTTTGGACAGGTTCAAGCCTCGAACTAATGAGAGGGAACAGTCCTCTCATTGCCATGTGCAAGTCCCAGCTTGGAGGGCAGGGCCCTCCCAGCACAATTATTGCCAAAAGCTATAGTTGTAAGCTTGAACCTATGGTCCGAACACGTGGCCCCACATGTCTGAGTGATGTGGGCTTGATAGAGTTCAGGTGCATGTGATTGAGTAGGATCGAAACCCACCAGAATGTTGTAAACATCTTGACCACGCTGTTGCTTTGCCTGGTGGAATCTGCTAGACCAGCCGTGGGCAAACTATGGCCCGCAGGCCAGATCCGGCCCATTTGAAATGAATAAAACTATTGAAAAAGAAGACCATACCCTTTTATGTAATGATGTTTACTTTGAATTTATATTAGTTCACACAAACACTCCATCCATGCTTTTGTTCCGGCCCTCCGGTCCAGTTTAAGAACCCATTGTGGCCCTCGAGTCAAAAAGTTTGCCCACCTCTGTACTAGACCCAGACCCAGCTTTCTTCTCTGTCTTTTCTCAATCCTTCACCGCCCGCTCTCAGGGTCATCAAACCTGGCTGAGCTGGCATGGCACATAAGGTGCCCAATGTGGGGCTGAGTATGCCATGGCTGTGCTGGCTCGCCACACCTGGGGAAGGGGACATCTACTAGAATTTGCAATGGGAAATTCCAATGGGATGAGTGGGTTATTTCACACCCAATCCTCACTGGGATCTCACTACCCTGCTCCAAGCTGGACATGTTGAAACACATTATACCTAGAATGGAACATGCACCATTGAAACGGGGGAGGGGGGGGGGGAGTGGGAGTCTTGATGTGGCCTGGCACCTGATGGTATTACCTTTCTACGGCAGGCCCACTAATAGGCTAGAGAGGCCTGCTGCCCACATATCCAACAGTTGGACTGGGGGGGGGGGGGGGGTTGGAGATGGCACTATGGTAGTGGCCCCGTAGTCATAGCCTTAAGAAGGGCGTATTGATACATCATCAGTTCTGCTTCAGTAATTGTCAGGGTAAGATAGTCTGTGAAAACACCTTATCTTTTTTTTTTTTTTAGTATCGTTTCATTGATTTCAGAGAGGAAGGGAGAGGAGAGAGATAGAACCATCAACGATGAGAGAGAATCATTGATCAGCTGCCTCCTGCACGGCCCCTGCTGGGGATCCAGCCTGCAGCCTGGGCATGTGCCCTGACGGGAATCGAACCCTGACCTCCTGGTTCATGGATCCATGCTAACCACTGAGCCACGCAGGCGGGCCACTTTAATCTGTTACTGTGTAACACCTGGGGCTGTTGGCGGTAAAATTGAAAATCCTTCCCTCGATTGAGTGCCAGAAGCAACAACTGAAACAACGTCAGCAGTTGCCAGCAGAGAAACTCCTGCGAAAGCGAGGGCGAAAGGCCAGCGGCTAAGGGCCCACAGCTGTGGGCGCTCAAGGCCAGGCTTCTGGCCCGAGGAATCAGCGGGAGGGCCGGGGATTGGAGGGAAATATCGCGGGACTTGGGCCCGGCTGTCTCGCGAGAGGTAGCCCCACGGGAACGGAGGGCGGCTTCTGGCTGCTTGAGGCATCAAACCTGCTGTAGGGACTGAAGACCTCAGCTAATGAAGTTGCACGAGTTTCCGCTTGGTAGTCTCCACAGAAAGTGCCTGTTGACCGGGATTCAGAAGTAAGTCATGTCCTCGTATGCAGGGTTTCAGTCGATATTTACGTTTCACACTTATTTTTTTTAAAGGAAAGCCTCTGTGTTGCGAGGGTTAGATCCAGGGTGCCGGGTTAGCTTGCGCTGTTTTTGCTGAAGGAATAGTTGTATTGACAGTATTGACAAGTGGACGGGCGTGAACGGCACTGATTAATAGTGTTCCTTTCATCCGAGGGGCCGTGATGAGCGTCCGGTGGCTTGTACTGGCTTGTGAGCATTGCTTATGGCAACAGGGAGATGGGAGCTTACACCTGGTGTAAGTGAGCCCCCCCCCCCCCCCCCCCCCCCCCCCCCCGGCTCTGCCTTTGGGGCTGGTTACATCACAGAGGTATGCCTCTGCCCCTGGCTGCCAGGTGTTGGCCGAGCTTGGTGCTTCTGATTGGAGAAAGCGCACACACTACTGGCGCCCCCATCTGTGCGGCGCGGCTGCATTTGGTTGAGATGCATTTCCTTAGTTCAGTGCTTATTTTGTATTCTTTTCTCACAATAACCCTAGATTCCTAAGCGTTATAATTGCAAGTCCCGTGCTAGTTCTTTTAGCAGCTAAAACTTGTTTACCACCTTTCGTGGAGCCTCCAACAGGAAACACACATACTAAAACAAGCAAAAACCGGAAGAGGTTGAGGGAATGCAAGGAAGGGAAGAAAAGAATACACAACAAGATAAAAATCTACAGCTTGTATCATCAAGAAGAAAAGAAGAGATATTTATTGCATCCAAAGCAATAGACTTGGGTACTTTTTGGGGAAAAAATTTTAGTGAAAAGTTTGGAAGATAAAATAGAGGAAATTGGGGGAAAGGCAAAGAGATGGAAAATAGTGGAGAAACTTTCCATATATTTAAATATTCTCTAATAGAACTAGAGTATTAGAGAAATGGAATTTGGGAAAATTAGCGAAATATAATTCATGAGAGTCCCTAGAATGGAAAAAACATGACTCCATATTAATGAGTAATTAACCAAGTACCAGCCCAAAGTATTAAAATAGTATCAACTAAGATATGCCCTTATTATGCAGTTTATAACACCAGAAATAGAAGGAAAAGGTTTCAGAGAGAGAGAGAGAGAGAAGCAAAAAATAACAATGCACTAAAACACAACATTGTATGATTATAGAATTCTGTCAATGCAGAGATAAATCTAAAATATTTTTGAGGGAGAATTTTTAAACAACTATTTATAAAGAAAAATGATTTTAAAGGTTATTTAAAATTTATAAAATTAAAAATTTACAATATAGCTAAATTCTGACATTTTTGTAAATTAAGGTCATAAACATATGCCTCCAAAAATGCATCAAAATTTTTTTCATGACATGGAACAAGATGTTATAGTTTTGTGTTTATGTAAAACATTTCACAAATTTGCACGTCATCCTTATTTGCAGGAGATATGCTAATCTTCTTGGTATTATTCTAGTTTTCGTATATGTGTTGCTTAAGCAAGTACTACTATGGGATTTTGATGAATATAAATACTAAAAACTGGAAAATACTCGATCATAAAAATTATTTGAAGTGTTGCAAGTAGTGATCGCATAAACTTCAATAGAAGAGACAACAGGTCTTTCTAAATCACAAACTATCCCATGCTGCACCTAAGGACACTAGAAAATAAAATGTTGCTGGATTTATTTTAACAATTATTTGTTATATATGTTAGAAAATATTAAGCATTTTAATTTAAAAAAGGTAAATTGTAGAAATGTCTCATTTTGATCACTGAAATATATGGTAGTGACTGGATATCTGTCCCTATAATCATAGGTTTCTAGTATGTAACAGTGATATATAACCACCTGAGAACAGGCATCAGAGCTTTACAGGAGGTGTTTATCATTGTGTCATTTGATTCCTTCTTGTGTTATGCAATCTGGGTACCAGTCTGCCAGAAAATTTAGCCTCTTCATTTAAAAAAAAACACAAAACATTTTCTAAGAGCAGCATCAGTATTCTGTTATTTTTATTACTTACCAAAGAAAGTTATTTCTCTCCTTCTGCCCTCTTTTATATTGAATGATTTGCATCTTGATAGCAGAGAGAAATGCTTTTTTTGCCATTAAAATAAAGAGACTCTGTTATGCTTCTCTAGGCTGAAGTGCCTGTGTGCATGCCCGTGTTATGTGTGTTAACTTCATCAGGGTTTAATCTTTAACTGTATTATTGGAGATTCCTTAGCACAGGCTTTCTATTTGTAACCTCATAAAAGTGATTTTTGGAGGAGGAATAATCTTTGTTGTGTTACTTATTTCACACAATGCAGCTCAGTAAATAAATTATGCACAGATACAGTTTATTATATAAAGGACAGTCTCTGTGCAGAGCAAAAGAGGACTGCACCTGCATGCTCAGCACTAATTCCTCATACTCTTTGTATTTGTGCCAAAGTACTTTTGGTAATATTAATTGAGAAGAGCCACATGGCATTTTAAATAGAGTCATGGGGATCTGTCCCATTATACAGCTGAGTAACTGTACAAAACATCCATCAGTACTGACCACACCATCGAATATTGCATTGTGGCATCAACCCAAGACATTACATTTATCTAATCATTGACTGTACATTTACCTCAGTCTATTTCAAGACAAGATATGAAGTGCTTGCTGCAAAATTACATTTCAAGCAATTTCTGATAAAGGAAGGAAATGAACTTTGAATGGAGCAATTGTTTTCTAAATGGATTTCTAAGACACAGTATTTTGGGTCCTGAGTTCATTGATTCGTATTGGACCAAGAGACACAGGTTGAAAGGGGACATGTCTCCAGCAGAAGAGAGAGTTGGAAGGAGATTGCTTGTTCCCTGAATCAGAGGTGCCTTAAGCCAAATTTAAAAACTTGCTCACAGAACAAATTTCTTTTGATTCCTTAAAATGAAATTTTAAAATTCTATAAGCATAGGGTCATCTTGCATCTTTTGGGACATTTTAAAGAGAAAAGCACATTAGTGTAGTAGATGGTTCAAGGATTGGAAATGGGATATAGGACCTTTCACTCCCTTGCTGAAGATCAGTTGACAATATATGTGTGGGTTTATTTCTGGACTCTCTTCTACTGATCAGTATGTATGTTTTTAGTAGAGGCCCAATGCAAGAAATACATGCAAAGGGCTCGGCCCTCCCAACCGCGGTGGCTTGCCTGGGCCCTCGCAGCCCTGGCTTTGTCCAGAAGGTCGTCTGTGTCGAGTAAGACTCCCTCCATGTTCTGCGTGGAGTAGGGTTCGGTATCTGAAAGAGGAGCCGCACAACAAATGAGAGAAAAAGACACGAGATAATTTTGCAATATCGGGGGACCAGGTGGCAAGTCCCGAAGGACTTCCTCCGTGCTCAGGCCTCACCAAGCTTTTATTGATCTGGGATGCACCCATAGCATAGCCCTTAGGCAGGTGACCCCCTAGTAACAAGCAGACTAGCCCATCAGCAAGGATTTACATAATAATAAATGGGGGAGTAGTTTCAGCTACCACTGTCTGGACAAACAGAGGTGGAGCCTAGCTCGGACCTTTGGGAGGGCTTCAAAGGCACCCAGCCTTTGGGGGGTTTCGGGGAGTTCTCTGTCTATGCTTATCAGATAGTGAAGGCAATAAACAGTTTCCCACATCTCCCCCTTATTTTTTCTTTAAAAAATAATCAAGTCCCAATTTCAATGTCCAAAAGTTCTGAGTCCATGTTTCAATGTCCAAAAGTTCATGTGTACATGCCAGCAATGAAATGTTGGTTCTGGATGGTGGAAAATGCAGGTCCGGTCCTCTCTGGTCTGGTCCTGGGCACCCTGCAGCGACGCACAGCTGCTGACTGCTAGCATGGCAAGGTGTCTTCCACCATCTCCATCTCTGAACTGTCTCTCCTGTCTTTGTGGCTGGAGCAGTCCCGTCAGTTTCTCTCTGGTATCCCTTGTTGCAGGAATCCACATGGTCTAGGAGTTGTTCTCTGAAAGTATACAAACATATTCTCGACCAAAGGTTAATAAAGGAAATTTTACTTGGGGAGGGGGCGTCCACACTGGATCGCCACGTGCTCCTTCTTCCCTTTCCCCACCTTCTGCTTTTGGGGGAAGTTTCAGCAAATGACTCAGATGGCGTATTTTTCCCAAAGTCATGCTTAATTGAAAAAGACATTTTAAGTTTTTCCCTATTTTGCTTTCTAAAGTCATGGCTAGCACCCAAGGTTATCTTAGCCAAAGTTTGGTGTCATAAGATGTTCTCCGGTAATTTTTAAATAAAACATTAAGTAATCTCATTGTGGGAGAGCTTATAACTCTGCCTTTTCCTGCCACCTTTGAATCTCTCCACACCAGAGGCGGACTCGGCAGCAGGGTTTCATTTCTTATTACAGATTTTAGATTCCAAATACAAATTAAGATTTTAATTTGGACAAGAAACCACATTAAGATGACCATGGCACTCTTTTTTCAGCCTGATTTTAAGAGTACCTTTTAATATTCCAATTTCTTTATAATTTGGCTTTTTTGCACAGGTGATTCTATTAACGGAGAATTAAACATTTCAGGATTAGGACATGGAGGTGGAGGGAGCCATGAAGGCCATTCCTCCCATTTTTTCTTTTCTTTCTGCTCCTCTTAAGGAGCGGAGGGTGCAAGGGGGAGGAGATCCATCCTCCTTGACCTCTTCTAAAGGCTCTAGGAAATGAAATGCCGTGTTCCACAGGGGAAACAATTTTTGGCAAGTTCTGATTAACTTTTTGGCAAACTTTTAAGATCTAATGTACCTTTTTCAAGAAACCAAGGGTTATGTTCTATAATAACATGCAAAAACTATAAGATATTACCTTCTAAAATTTTAACTCCTTAAGCATGCAAATCAAAAGTCTATAATAAAGTTTCTTAGTTTTTAAAAGCCAAATATACCTTTTTAAAGCTGAATCTACTTTTTTAAAGCCAAATCCTGCCCCGTTTGTTAGCCTGGTTAAGAAAACGTTCCCAGTTTACTTACAGACCCGGGCTTCTGTAGTTGATCCTGGGCATTGCGTGCGGTAGACTTCCCCTCACCTTTTTTCGGTGAGTTTTCCACACCTTTTCGGTGAAAACTTCCTTTTCTCGCTCCAGTGAGACCTACACTTCCAGATTACCCGTTGGGCGCCAGATGTTGAGTAAGACTCCCTCCACGTTCTGCGTGGAGTAGGGTTCGGTATCTGAAAGAGGAGCCGCACAACAAATGAGAGAAAAAGACACGAGATAATTTTGCAATATCGGGGGACCAGGTGGCAAGTCCCGAAGGACTTCCTCCGTGCTCAGGCCTCACCAAGCTTTTATTGATCTGGGATGCACCCATAGCATAGCCCTTAGGCAGGTGACCCCCTAGTAACAAGCAGACTAGCCCATCAGCAAGGATTTACATAATAATAAATGGGGGAGTAGTTTCAGCTACCACTGTCTGGACAAACAGAGGTGGCGCCTAGCTCCGAGCTTTGCTAGGGCTTCAAAGGCACCCAGCCTTAGGGGGGTTTCGGGGAGTTCTCTGTCTATGCTTATCAGGTAGTGAAGGCAATAAACAGTTTCCCACAGTCTGGAAGGACATCCGGAGGTCGTTTGGCTGTCCGGTCTAATTAGCATATTATTTTATTATTATAGATACCAGGTACCAAACTTTTAATTACTGTAGCTTTATATTTTGAAATCAGAAAGTGTGATGCTTATAGATTTAGAGTGATGAATATAGATTTATTACCAGGACTTACAGTCAATGTATGATGGCTATTAACATTGACTGTTAACATATCTAATTCATTACTATATTGAGAGCAGTCTGTTTTGGAGTTATACCTCCCATGTTCCAAAAAAGAAAATGTTTAAATAATGATCACTTAGTGATGAGATTCTTGAACAATTTTATTTTAACTGTTTTTGAAAGTTCAGTTTTAAAATGTGATGTGATTGGACAGTAGGTAACTAAAAAACATGCAGTCACTATCATTCAAGAATATAATATTTCTTTACTCTGGATAGTATATTAAATGCAAACATTCTAATTTTAATTGGCTTCCTTGATCTGCCCTCTTTTTCCAGAGACTCCTGCAAGTTGCACTATAATATAACTTCTAAAAAATTTTCTACTGTGACTATTTTGACTACAAACAGTAACAAAAGCAAGCATTTACTAGGGGTCGTACCAAGAACCAGTCACTTTAAATGCATTAGTTCAACTCACTATATTCATTGGAAATACAAATTGTATAAGGTGAGGATTTTAATTATTTTTTTAAAAAAATACCAGCAGTCAAAATCAGAACAGATGACTTTGAAACAACTTTTGTATACTAGAAACTTACTCTCTTTTCTAGTCCAAATTTTGTAGATATGGTAGTAAAGGTAAATGCAGAGAATAATTACAATAAAGTACCTCTGTAAAGTACCATTCATATGAATAGCTCAAAGCACTTCTTATTGCATTACCTCATTAATCTTTGTAGTATCCTACTGAATATGGGTGG